TTTTTTTTTTTTTTTTTTTTTTGCTGGGCTGGGGTTTGAACCCAGAGCCTTGTGCATGCTAGGCAAGAACTCTACCAATTCAGCTATATCCTCACCTCTTGCTTCAGCTAATTTAGAAAAACTATTCCTCAGTTAAATTAGTCCCTTTAAAAAATGGCTTCCAAATATGAATGTAATTTTCTTTTGTTAGTTTATTCATTAGTAAAATATTTATAATAAATCTTTTCACATTACCTAACATTATTATTATTAGCCTTTACTGAAAAGTGATTTTCACACAGTATGAAAGTATTTTAAACCTAATATGCTTTAAATGTTAAGAGTATTTTTAATCGAATGGATATTAAGAGTATAAGGCCTGCCTACACCAAGACTTATCTGTGGTTCTTCTAATGACTAACAGAATATATTTTATTAAATTGTTCAACAGAAAACATTCAAAGTTAGCTAAATATGAAACAAATATTCTCCAATTTCAAAGACATTGCACACATTTTGGAGGAAAATGTCATGTTGCTCAAAGGTTAAAATGAATGGTCACATTACAAGTCATTAAGGGGACAGGGATGTGGCTCAGCTCTGTGGTACAGCTAGGCAAGGTCCTGGGTTTAATCCCTAGCACCCAAGAAGGAAAGTGGGGGAACCTCAGGAAGGAAAGTTAATTTGTTTTCTTCAAGTTATCCTTGTTTTTTTCACCTAAGTTTTCTAAATTTTCTATAATAAACAAATTACTTCATAAGAAAAAACATCATTTAAAAGCATTTTAAGCAAACCATCAAGCATACAATAAACCTGAATTATCTTCTAAAAAGAAAAAAAAATACTCAGAGGTAAAAGCCAATTTTCTGGAAAGCTGAAAAGTAATTTAGAGGAGAATGTGTGCCCAGCACCAGAGTTTCAAACTAATACATTAAGAAGAAATACAGCAAGTTAATCTTAAATAGGTATTTTGCATCCCCTCCCCACTAGTTTTTTTTTTTAATGTTCAAAACATTTATGAAACCACTTGAGATTGACTTTCATAACTACAACAAATAAAGTATTTAATGTTAAATTGTGGGATACAATGTACTTCCCTTTTGAAAAAAGTCTTATTTACAACTTTAAGAACAAAGATATTTTTTAATTAAATGCAGATTTTAGAAATACATTTATTATGTAGTGTTACTATAATAAAAATGGCTTTTCCAAGAATCACTAAGTATCCAGGGAAATTAAGAGGTGAACTTTAATATTTTCAATCATATTCAGAAAATATAATGTGTTTACTTGCTTATTGAGTCTTTGCCAGTCTGAGCTTTTCAGCTTTGGTGATTAATTTCTTAGTGGCTTTTATTTTCCTGAGGCTGATTAAGTTTGGACTGTCTATCTACCAAAGTCTTCTGCCAATACCTCTGTTTGCAATTACCAAAAAACACCTGAGTTTCCAGCAGTGCTTTTTTTAATTTCAGTATATGCATTCGTTACTGCTTGAGCATCCTCAGGAGTTTTAAATCTGATATGGCATTCTGTATCTCCTTCTAGCAACTCAACATAAAAAACTTCCGAGATTGTGGTCAAAGTGTCCTGTACAACATCATTCATGACTTAAAATACACGTAATAATTGTTCAAGTTTTTATAACATTCACAAAAAAAAATTTATCAAATCTACAAAAATCCTGGAGTTCTTGAGTAGCTGTACTGCTACGTTTTTAAAAAAAATATCTAAATAACCTCCCTCCCTGCCAGTTTTAACTTTATTATTCAACCTGAAAGTATCAAGCTGTTAAATTTTATCTGAGTAGAATGAGCCCTGAAGCCTCTTCTGAAGCTATGTAGGTCTCTGCTGCTGACGGGGCACACCTGTGTTCCAACCCACAAGAGGTGGGACCCACAAACACGAGTGTGCAGTCCACCTTGCTCTCTGACGACAGCACGGGGGTGCAGGGAGCTTGGCAGGCCTGCCCTGCCTCCTGGAGCCCCCAAATGTCATCTTTTCCTCTTTTCATTTCATAGGCAGGCTCAGAAAACCAGAGCCTCAAAGTATCAGGATGACACTTATAAAACTGACATTTTTCTTCTGAAAACAAGGAAGGTAGAGAATAAACCACATGACACTTCAGCCTGAGCTGGGAAGGAGGGGTAATGGTATAAAAGCACTTACATAGGAGGAGTGTTAGACTTTGCTATTAACTCGTCCTTGAGCCTAATGAGCTCCCTCAGTTTAGGGTATTCTTCAAATCTGTCAGCTAAACCTGAGGAGAAAAAGCAGTAAACCAAATTTCATTTCAACTGAACTCAAAGGCTAAGTGCTCTGGGGCTGAACAACACCTGCATCGCACCACTAACTCTCACGCCTTGCTTTTCTAGGCCACCCCCTAAGGAAGTATATTCATAACAATATGAATTATGTCAATTTCTTAGTTTAAACACCAAAAGGTTTTGTTATCAAGAGTAAACATGAAAACTTTCGTAAAAGCTTCCTCAGTTGATTGCATACATCACATTCCAAAGAAAACAAGTGTGAAAATCTTATCACCATCAGGTTTCCACAGTCAGCTCTCAACCCTCTATAAAACACAAGGCACAACCTAAAACCACCCTAACCGTAACCTCTGCTGCGGCCTGAAGAACACGCGTGGTACCCTGCTTGCAACCTGGGGGTGTGGTCGGCTCCTCAGATGTTGCACAAATCAGATATACTTTCCAAGTACTCTCTTCTCAACTTCTTTCATCATGTCATCTTTGTTCCCATCATACAAGGAGTTTCACTCTCGGATTTTGAAATCCAACTTCTACTTGATTCAAAATACATTCATACAACTTCTTCTCAACCTACAAGTTTTCCTTGCCTTGGATAATTGTGCAAATGTCTTAAGAAGGGTTTATATCCAAATATGGGTATAACGTTTATCATAACTGGAGCTGTGAGATAGTTCAGTGGCAGAGCACTTGCCTAGCACATACAAGGCCCTGGGTTCAACTCCCAGCAACACACACACACACACAAAGAAGAAAAAAAAATACATCTCTTTATACTATATCAAAATTTTGCTTATAAAAAAATTAATTAGTTTTCACTTTAGAAATAAATAAAAATTTATTTTATGACAAAAAATAAATTGGATTACACCAAAATTAAAACTTCTGTGTCACAAAAGATACTATCAAGAAAATGACAAGA